CATCGCTAAGAGTTCTCATTACCGCATCAACTATTTTATTATGAAACGTATATGGAGAGGATGAAAAGAAAAAATTAATTTGTGGGAAATAATGAGCCATAGCTGCCTGAAATCCTTTATCACCATCACCCCTGATATTATCTACTCTTTCATGATCTAGTAAGTATTGTATAGCTCTTCTTGTTTCCTGTTCTGTTTTCCCTTTCACTGGAATGCAATATAAATATCTAGTGTTAATGTTAATGGCAAATAAATAAGTAACGTTTCCTTTTGAATATTCCAGATGATCGATTTCGTATGAATATGGATATGGAGCAAATGAAGGGCGACTAAATTTTTCCTTTAACGGTTGAATTTTCGGGTCAATTGGTTTATTTAATATCTTGAAATCCTTTTTAAAATCTTTTTGCTTCTTTAATGTTTGAAATGGATATAATAAAGTGAATGATGAAGGATTAACTGAAGGAGGAGGCGGTACTGTCGTTGGAGGTTTTGGTGTTGCAAGTGGTTTAATTTTATCTGCTTTGATTTTGGATTTCATTCCTTCCTTCATTAATTCTGGATGTATTCTATTCATTTGTTTTAAATATGCTGTATATAAAGGTTTGATATACTTTCCCGCTTCGAGTTTATGTTGAAGGATGAATTCCAAAAGTTGATCTTCATTTAAAAGTCGGGCTGAATATGGTTTAACTAATGAATCATAAATTAAAGCTTGTGCTTCATTTATGGTCTGAAGGACCTGGGCGTTTTGCACCTTTGTTTTTGTTCCTTTGTTTTTTTGCGGCTCATGATTATATAATTTATATAATTCATCAATATCTTCTTTCTGTTAATACTTTATTTTTGAAATCTTTCAATTGTTTTAAGTTGTGATTTAGTTTTTTCCTTTGTATATTCATTATTTTTAATTTTGTCTTTAATTTTAGAAATTATTTTATCATGATATTTCAAAATTTCATTTTATAATACGGATAAAATAATCCACATCATCACCCGTTATATTTTTATTATATTTTTGGAGATATGATTTTAATTCATAATAAGTAAGAAAATTTTGATTAAGTACTAAATCATAAATTAAATTTTTTAAATCTGCGCTATTCATTTATATAAAAATAAAATAAGTGTTTTAAGGGTGCCGCCTCTTTGAATCATAGTATCAAAACCATCATTAACGGTTCCTTTTGTCTCTTCTGTGGCATTTTATTAAAAATAAAATTTTAAATTGTATTAAATAAATGGCATACAACATCCATTTTCACAACATACAGCCTTAGTGTGTGCTCCTGTTAATCAGTCTTACCGATTGTTAAGCGAGTCATTGACCCGTTTTTAAGTTGTAAATTAATATTCTGACCATCAAATATCACTTTATCATTTATTATATCCAAATATTTTAGGTGTTAATTGTTTATTTTGTCGTAAACTAACACCTTTCATTTTTTGTGCAATCTTTTTAAAATCACTTCCATCAATTGAACCGTTGAATGATGTATAACACTTGGGGCATAAAGCAACCATGTTATCACCTTGTTTCTCAATTGCTAAACCCAATAACTTCTTCTCATGTGCTTTTTCTTCAGCTTTATTCTTTAATTTAGGTTTAAATTTCTCATCAAAACAGAAGAAATCAAATGGTGCGAATTTGAAAATGTTTTTATCATAAAATTGTTTATCGGTAACAATTGCTTGAAATGCTTGAGTGTTAGGAAGATTTGGGTCGCCAGCGATTGTCCAATAAGATGAATCAGTATCACCTTCAATGAAATGAAAACGATTAACATTCATGCATTTATACATAAAATCATAAATGAAAACCAAAATACCAGTATTTAGCATTATCTAAAGTGAAGAATGCCTCTTGTAAACATGTATCACATCTATAAAATCTATCTTTAAGCATCACTTGATATGTATCTTCACCTATTTCTCTTATGTTTTTAAACTTATTTGACTACATGCAACGCGTGCTTCTGTGCATTCATTATTTTAGTCTTTGCGTAATTTTGTGTATTCATTACATCGTAACCATATGATCCATTAAGTGCAATCTTGCAAAATAAACTTTTTCCTTTATTTCCTTCTAATTCAGCCTTTTGTCTTTCGTTCATAAATTTGTTCGCAAATTCATTAAAACAAGTGTTTTTAGTAAATGTTAAAATTGATTGAATGTCATCAATGATAAAATGAAATCTGTCTATTAGATACCAAAGATAATATAGGGTGTCCAAAGGTGTGTTTAGCACAAACCTGAATACTGCGAATAGAAATAAACAAGTTACATATATATAAAGTTTATTTAAATATAATCACCATTGGATTCAATCACGCGTTCGCAGCGATCGATCCAGGCTTGAAAGACACGCTTTAAATCATCATGAGAAAATTGCTCAAATTGCTCTCTTACAAAATTTTCAAGATCATCTGGACTCGCGAATTCGCGTCCTTCAGCTCTCTTTTTTAGCGTGCCGAATAAATAAAAGTCAGAGGGTGCAATATCAGGTGAATAAATTGGGTTTGGAACAACTTTGACATTGTTTTCCACCAAGTAATTCATTACCTTATGACTTTTGTGAACTCTTGAATTATCAAAATGAATTGCAAACTTTTGTTTTTGTTGTTTGGATTTCTCAAACTCATCAGAATTGATAATTTGAGTAAGAACATTGTCAATTAGATACTGAGCATTCATCGTATTAGGTTTTTGAAGAATATCAATTGCGATGATGTCATTCACGCCCCAAAAAACCGACAACATAATCATTGGTGTGTCAATTTTTTTCTTCGGGAATGTTTGCGGATTTTTCCTTCGGGATCCACATGATTTTGGCTTCTGTTGCATATTGAAACCAAGACTCGTCCCTGTTACTAAAAAGCGAAACTTCTTGGATTGATACGCACCCAATATAGAGAGGAGCTCTTTCGAAGATTGGACTCTAGATTTTTTTTGAACTGAATTAAGGTTGTGCGGAACCCAACGTGTATACGCTAGTTTGTAGTTCAAATAATTGTGCAGATAATAACTGACTGTTGTACGTGGTATCTTTGTCATCTCCTCTATCCTTCTGAGTGATGCTCTTGGGTCTTCATCTAGCGCTTGAAGAATTGCTTTGATTTTTCTTTGATCCGGCGATTTTTTGTCAATTTTTATGATGGGCGCCTTTTTGTTCATGAAATGATACATCCTAACATGATACGTTACAGTGGAATAGCTAGGAGCATCCATACCGAAGCATTTTACCAATGTCTCGTAGATTTTTTACAGTCTTTGCATTTTTTTGCAAGAGCGAGGATGTTTTCTTTATGATTCATTAAAAAATGAAAAAAATCCCGCCAAAATTTCCCGCGAAACCGCCTCTTGTCTCAAAATTCATTTTATATACCGGCATGGCGCCAAAATACAACATACTCATCATATACATATATTCATATTTTTTATTATATATTTATAATCAGCATATATCTCCTTTAATAGTCTCATATAGAGCGCTGTGCTAAACGCACCTTTGGACACCCTATAAGAAGAAAATGGTTGATATTGGTTGTGTGTTGATGCTAACTGAGTTAATTTCCTCTGTTTCTGGTCAACTGGTAGATTGTTTGATTTCATGTAATTATACATAAAACTGCCAATTGTTTTTTCATCTGTGATAATATCTAAGTTTCTTATTATCGGTAAAAAGTTTATGTAATCATTAATGTATTTTTCATCAATGTGACCCTTTACTTCAGCCACGAATAAAGTATTTTTCTTCTTAATTATTCCCAGTGCTTTTGCTTTCTTTGTTGCTGTATCACAAATGATAATACCATTCAATTTTCCCGGCATATACATTTTATGGTCAGTATATTGAATGAAATCATGAGGATTAGATGAAAATGATGAAGGATATAATGAATTAAAATCAACACCAACGAAATGAGTCATAATGTTGGTGGTGTCCTCATTTGATACAGTTTTAGTTTCTGGATTATATGCAAGTTTATTAATGTGCGTGATTCCTTTAAGATTTACTCTATGTTGAACATTTGATAAACCACCAGTAATTCCATTACGGAGAATGTGATAAGCTTCAACTGAATCTAAAGTCATTGGTAAATTATTTTTTAATGCATAATTTCTTAAATTGATTCTTAAACGTTGAACATCTTCATCTTTATTTGATTTTACGACATTGCAATAACAACACATTAACTGACAATTTTCTTTGGTATGTGGTTTTTCATTATCGATTCTATCCAATGTTGGTTTATTTGCATATGTAAACGCTTTACCACACATTTTGCATTTAGATGAAAGGATTAAATCGTGATAGTATTGAAAATCATCCATTGAAACATTATTTTTAGTATCCCTTTCTGCTTTTTCATCTTGTTTCTTATATGATTCAATTTTATATTTCCAATACTTTTTCGTTAATTCAAAACTTGATTCTATCTCTTCCTCAGGATATTTTTCATTAGGATTAAAGTCTTTATATGCTAAAGCGTAACGAATCATTGAAGCATTCGATGATAAAGAAAGATTATGAAGCGTGTCAATTTTATAAACAAATGTTTCTTCAATAATTTTATCGATTGGGTCAATCATAATTTCAACATCTTTATTGCAATAATGAATAAAATATTTTAATCTATTCTTAAAATTTTTAGCATCATTGAGATATATTTGATAATCACTATCTGATATAGTTTCTTGGGTTAATGCTGAATAAAATGAATCTTTCGTGAATGGTTCCTCTTTATATAATTCTTCTTCGTAATTTTCCCATGTGATGAATTGATAAGGGAAAAGGATTTAACACGTGATTTATTGTTTCCGAAATCTTGAGTGAATTGGTCTAATGTCCCACCCGCTATATAATTTCTGATGTCAATAAATCTCAATTCATATGGAACGTTTGTTTTCTTTACAATGATTTGCTTAAATTGTGAAGATGAACCCAGCATTGATTTTATTTTCCATTTTGCAGTGTTTAAATCACGAAGAATTAAATTTAAATCAAACTTTCCCGAATTAAACCTATGATATTCACTTTATTGAATTCCTCATCTAGAAGTTCTTTAAATGCTTCCTTCTGTTTTTCATTTAATGTATGGGACAAAGTCCCCGCCGTTTGCGACTTCAATAATTCATTGTATTGACTCATATTTGATTCAACAACTAATGAACAGGTTGAAAATAAAAACTCAATCCAATCAGAAATAAAAGAATCACTCGAAGTTAAGCAAAAATTCCTCGTATATGTTTTATCGTTTAATTTAACCGTTGATGATACCATGAATGGTTTTAAGTAAGCGTTCAAAGTTGCACACTCAGAAAGTTGTAATTCTTCTTCAGTCTCTAATGTTTCGAAGTCAAAAGTAATATAATATCTTGTCGGTTTATAATATTTCTGCAAATTGTGAGCTAATAACCACTGATATATCTTCTGTTTCGTAATATGTGGTGCATATGGTTGCTGTGTCTTTTGCAACTGAACGTCTTGAATTAATCTTCCATTATTTTCTTTACATTTCTCACAATGCTTTAAAAATCTTCTTTGGTTTTTCCTTTCTGGATCATCACGGATAGAATAAACTTCTTCTTTACAATATGGACAAACTCTATAGCCGGTGAGTGCTTCAACGTCTGTTATTCTGTCAGCGTGAAGTTTTTCACATGGACTCTGTGTTAATAAAATATTTACTGTTTCAAATTCTGGATCTATCATTATTGAATCCACTAATGGAAAGTCTACCTTATTTATGTCCACGTCTTCTGGTTGAGGATCACAATAATAGAAATCAATATTAACATTTAACATTCTCGCTAATCTCTCACTTTCTGATGAAATGTCAAACCCTTCATATGAATCTATTGCTTCATTTAAATAACTTCTACGAGTTTTAGGATTAACACCATCAGGAATGTTATAGAAGCGTTTAAATAACCTTCTACCTTCTGCTCTAATTTGATTATCATTCATTTTAGCTGTTCCGTTTTTGTTCATTTATGTAAGAATAAAAAATTAAAAAATAAATAAAAATAAAGTTTATTTTTTAAAGCCCATAAAATGAATTAAGAACACATAAATTTTTATCATCTGCGACGTGACGAATACATTTTAATTTACTCAAGAATGTGTACCCTGATACATTAAATCTAATTCCTGTCTTATTTAATTTCACAACTTTGAAAAGGAATGTATGAATAGCTATAAAATGATGAGAAGATGTTTTATGGGTTGCTTCCATTTTTTCTGAAATAAATGAATAAATATAATGCTTATACGTTTTCATATCTTTTATATTCTTAATAACGAATGGTATAGACCTTTCCACTTCGTCTTCCTTCGGTGCTGTTCTTTCATATGAAACATTATTGGTATCTTCAATAATGAAACCACAATCACACAAAATTTTATAGGTTCCAATGGTTTCTTTTGATATTTTATCTAATAAATCAAAAACTTTATCAACACCTGTGCATTTATTTAAATAATAATTTGTGTAAATATCATGATCTTCTTTCTTAATCGTATTAGTTGCATATGTCACGTTTTTAAGAGCTTTTTTGAATTTCTCAGAATCTAAAGGTGATGAAAGTAGGATACAGGGGTATTCTTCATTATCAATAAATTGTAACTTATGTTTACGAATAAATTTAGTACCTTCTTCTGAAAGTGTTTCGTCTATTTCACCATCTAATAAATTTTGTGTTGATTCTGAGACATAATTTTTATATCTTTCTTCATGAGATTTCTGAACTTCTGATTCTGAAGTTGGGATATTCATTAAACCCTCTACTTCATTTTCATTATATTTTTCAACTTCTCTTAATTCCTTAATTTTTTCATCTATTTCATCTCTTATTTTTTTCAGTCTTTCAATTTCACTGTATTCATCATCTTTAATCCGTTCTTCATAATATTCAGGGAAAACATCAGGTTCTTTAGGTTTTTCTTTTTTAGATGTGGGATATAAGAAATTTATAACATCATCTTTATTCATTTTTCCATCATAATCTAAATCATTTAATAACTCCGCGAATTTTTTACAATTTCTTAAATAATATTTATCAACTTCATAACCCACCTCCTCTAATATATCCTTTATTTCCTCGTTTGTGAATCCTAATTTTTTAACGTTGTTAGTTTTGACGCTCATTTCATACAAAATAAAAAAATAAAATAATAAACATAACTAAGTTTTAATTTTTCGTAAGACATGAATTTCTGATTTCTTTTACTCGTTTATGAGGTCTTTGATTATGACTCCATTGATTCCATTCAGGATTTAAACAATGTTTAATTAATCGCGGAATATCTGACATCATCTATATATAGCTTCTTTTATAAAAGATAAAAAAAATTATTTTAAAATTAATGTTAATTTTTTAATGATTTATTTCATTATGTTTGGGCTGAGTGTAAATGTCTTACAATTTTGAAAATTTTTTAAATCTTGATTTATTTAAAAACGTAAGAATAAAAACCGTAAGAATCATACATTTTTTACTTCATATGTTAAAAAAATGATACAAAATCGTTCTATATTGTATGAATTCTTACGTTTACAAAAAAAGTCACAAAACCCTTCATATCCTACTACTAAATGAATTAAATGAAAAGTAAGGGTATTTCTTAAAATTATGATTGACATGAAAATAATATTAATTTTTTGAAAAATCAATAAAGGATATGAAATGATAAAGAATAAAATAAAACAATTTTAGATATTAAATGCAATAAAATTGTTTTAACTTATGATTTATATGATATAAGAGAGAATGTAATAAAACTAAGATAAAGATTAAATGAAAGTGAATTCTCTAAAACAATGATGAGCATTAAACAAAAAAGAATGATTGGGAAATTAACATCTGCTCCATGATCAACTAAGAACTTAACAATTTCAAAATCTTTATCTCTGATAGCCAGTGTGAGTGGTGTATCAAAGCCATTAAATCATGATTTATTTGAAAAATAAGTTAACGACTTGCATGTCGATCTTTGCACCATGTTCAATTAAGCACTTCATCATTCTGAAAGATTTTTTATTAACTGCTATTTCCAGAGGGCATCTGTTTTTAAATAATGAACTTTATTAATCAATGAGCAATATGATATATCAGAGAATGCCATCATAAAATAGTAGATATAATTAAAAGGATAATATTATGAAAGGCATGAACAATATTATAAGATTATGATTGATATTAAAATGTGAAGAAAGAGCATTATGTTGACATCTGCACCATGATCAATTAAGAATTCGACGAATGGTAATGCATCTTTTTCAATTGCTTTACTGTGTGGACAGTAATGATCATTAAGAGAATGTAATATAAAGATAGAGAAAGTCACAAATAAAATAAAAGACAAAAATAGAAAGGTAATCTTAAAAAACAAAAAATGATATGATAATATTATGAATTTTACCATAAAGGAATGCTTAATATGAATAAAAACTGAATGTCATATAACAATGATTGATATAAAAAGGAAGAGAAAATAATAATAATAAATAATGTAATAAAGTAATATAAAATGAGTTTCTTATTGACATCTGCTCCCAAATCAATTAAGAATTTGAAAATCTCCATTGAGTCAATTTCTAATGCAGCAGCGAGAGGACAAGAGTTGATATCAAAAGAATTTCATAAAAAAATGAATGATATAATGATATAATAGTGGATATGAAAATAAAAATAATGCGATAATACAATGAAATATATGAAATGAAAGCAAACATCATAATACAACAAAAGATGTGAAATGAGAGATAACTTTGTAAAACAATGAAAGATATGAGATGATTGTGAATTCCATAATCTAATAAATGATACCCTTAATTTCATAATTATATTGAGAATATAAACTTCATTAGCATCACCACCATTAACAAATATGTAAGAAACAACATCATAATTAGCGTTAAGTATGAACTCCGTCACACTTGTAGGTTTTTGCCCAAATCTAGTGAAAAGATAATCTGCAACTTCGAAATTGCGGTATGTCAATGCTTCGCCGATCAAGTTGTCGAATTTTTGATTATCTCTTATCATTTGATAGAAAATATTCGTACTCCTTCCACCACAAGCGTATTTTGAAGTTTTTTGTGTATATTTAGCGCCTATACTTCTCAAATAGGTGAAACACTCTTCAGAACCGAATTGGCATGCAACTTCAAGAGGAGTGAAAAATTTATTGTACTTGAAATTGGGATCTAGATCTTTGAATTTGCTTTTAAGTTCATCAATTTTGTCCCAAACAATGTAATAATAAGGAGAATCTTTAGGGTAAATATCGATAATTCTTTCTTCTGAGAAGCAAGAACGGAAATATTCATCGAATATGACGCCTCTATAGTATAATAATGACGTTAAGATATAACTATTTGGTTCTAAATTTAAATTGAATTCTTTTAATATCATTTCATAAAGCCTTGTATATTCAACAATACGTTTTTCTTGAAAATTCGAAAATTTGGAGATCAAATTAAGAACATTTTGTGGTGAGGCCTGGCTCGAAGAAATCATTTGAAAGAGTTTTGAAGAAGTTTCTTCGAAATTTGTGGAGTTAAGGTTCCAAAGAAGTATTGTAACTAGATGTGGATTCTCAAAATAATCAATTAGTTTTATATCTTTGAGAAATTGTGCCATCTATTGTCTTCAAGTTGTCACTTTTATAACAAAATCATTTTGGAAAAATATCATTTTCAAGGAAATATGAATAAGTCAATATCATCTTAGGTCAGGTATGAGGGGCTTCCAGGGGCTGCGCCCCTTCTAGCCCTAAGAAATTTTGCCCAAGACCCAAGAGGAGGACCGAACCCCAGCCGACCAGCCGGTGACAAAACCAAAACCGTTGTTATTTACATCATATTAATAGTGTCATATAAACATCTGTCAAAAACCGCTTTTTACTTCACTTAAAATGCCACGTAAGCTACGTAAGAATATACGTAAGAGGAAGAGAGCATTGAAACATCCAATAGTAAAACTGACACCACAACAACAGTTGCAACAACAAATGCTGAATGACCCCACTATGTTGCAACAAATGTCAAGCAACCCTATGCTTTTAAACCGAGTTATTGGTGCACAGAGTGGAGGTTTAAGAGCGGCACTTTTAGCGAAAATGGCAGGCTATGGTGGAGCTGCAGACGGAACAGCTTATAACCCTCAAAGTCAAATGAATTTGAGTTCACTCAAAAATCAAATAACAGATGTCAAAAAGTCAAACATAGACATACAGAAACAAATAAGTGAAAACGAAAAGAAACTAGAATATGACAGACACACAAAGAAACTCAATGAGTTAAACGTAGAGAAAAAGAAGAAAGAAGAACAACTGAAAGAACTAAGTACAGAGGAATATGCGAAAAAAGTGTCAGAAAAAGCAGCAGAAGTAGCAAAAATGGAACAGGATGTTATAAATTTGAAAAACCATACTACTCAATATAAAGTACTGAAAGATGAAGAGATAAAACAAAAAGCCCTGAAGACATATATGGATAGCGATGAGTATAAAAAAAGTTGAAGCAAATGTAAAGGCAGAAAAACTTTTACAGTTGCAAAACCAAACCGTACAGTATGAAAACTTAGCACAAGAAAGTAAAAATAACGACGCAGCCATGCAAAAGGCAATGAAAAGCGCAGAATATATAAAAGCTAATAATGACTGGTTAGATGCCCAAGCCAACGCTAAAGCAGCCCAACTTATAGGGTCAATAAGGACAAAAATACAAGCGGATGAAGACAGTTCAAATGAAGCTTTAATGAATGCTGACTTTAAGAACGCCTTCGAAGCTCTTCATAGTAAGGTGAAACTAGTGAACGACTTCTCATCTGGAAAGAAACTGAAGTCTGAAGGTTTCGACAACGAGTTAAGAGAAGTAGCACAAAATATGACGAAAATAACAGATGCAGCAACGAGACAGGCAGTTCAAAGTGCCTATGACGCCGTTAGAGCAACTGTTGTGGAAAGTCAAGAAAAAGAGTTACAACAGACCAAAACAGACCTAGTAAATGCTTTCTTAAGAACGAAAAGTCAGGTAGGACATTATGCTGCAGATGGAACATATGTGCCAGCTGGTGGAACTTATATACCAGCTGGTGGAACTTATATACTAGCTAGTGGAACTTATATACCACCAAACCCTCCAAGAGAAGCACCTGCACCCGGACTACCTAAAACATTTACATCGTCACATGGACACAGACACAGGCATGCACCAAAACCAACACAACAACCAACAGTTCAAAATCCAGCACAACAACCAACAGTTCAAAATCCAGCACAACAACCAACAGTTCAAAATCCAGCACAACAACCAACAGTTCAAAATCCAGCACAACAACCAACAGTTCAAAATCCAGCACAACAACCAACAGTTCAAAATCCAGCACAACAACAACCACAAACAGAGCAAGGACATAAAAGAAGTAGAGAACAAGGAAACCAAGAATTCTTAAAAATGCTTAAGGAAGATTATGGTTACCCAGATACTCTTGACTTTAGTGACAGATATAAAGAAGCTATTAGAAAGTTCAAGGAAGGAAATAATGACCCGAACCTATTTAGCTTTATGTTTCAGCACCAAATGGAATATAATTTCAAACCTGGAAAATACAAGCTCGCTAAGGGATATGATTTAATAGCATATCATCCAAATGACATGGATGAATTTACTCCGAGATATTTGGTGTCAGAGCTAAATGATAATTCAACTCTCTTCATGAAACGCGTAAAAAATAGAGACGGAACGAAAGAAGAAAGGTTTATGAGTCCGGATGACTTAGATAGGGAACTTGTTAAAAACGGTCTCGGAATATATGAAATGCCAGCAGATGAGGTACAAGAAACTCAACAGGAAGAAGTTCAGATACAACCAGACATGGAAGAAATAGTTCAGCAACAACAGCTAGAAGAGCCTGAAGGAAACGAACAAATCCCTCCTTTGGAAACTAACTTCACAGAACTAGATGAAGATTTGGAACAGCCGAAAAATCTTGACCCTCAACAAGTGTATGCGGAGAATATGGAATCTTTCCAAGAGTCTAAGAAAAATTCGGCTGACAGAGTAGAAGAATATCGAAAAATGTTCGCCGACATACAAAAGACTCCAACATCAGATGAAAATATTCAGCATAGAATGGAAGTACTGAAAGAAAATGTACGCAAATACAACAATCCTTTTTACTTACGACCATATAACGTTCAATCTTTGGCTGAACTCGGTGAAAATAAAAGGTTAAATTTCAACAAAACATATAGAAATGAAACATTGTTTAAAGTTCATTCAGAACCTAGCCAATATGGAAACAAACCTACTTTTGTTTCTGCAGACTATGGAACTACAATGAGATGGGGTCATAAAGCTAATCCGGATAGGTGGTTCATAAACTTACAACCTCAATTCCAAGAAGTTGTAGACGCAATGGAAGTGAATGGTGAACCAGATATAGCTGGTATTTTCAGCGCGGCTTTAATGCCATTGAAAGATATGAAACATGCAGATATTTTGGACCAGTATGAAATGAACATGGCTGATGGAAATATAACACCTGACGTTCTAGAACATTTATCTCAAAGAACTACACAGAACCATAGAGATGGTATATTTGGTGAAGAGTTTAGAAAGAAAGTTAGGGAGAGAGAAGGAAGAGAACCTATTGTACATGACCTTGCAAACGAAAGTTTGCAAAATGTCATAAAAACTTACTTTGCAGACAATGAACTGAGAAGGGATGAATATTTAAGAAAACTCAAATGGACAGTACCAAATGAAATGTTAGTATTGAAAAACATGTTCCTTGACAAAATAAAACCAACTACAGAAATAAATGACGCAAGACTGAAACATTGGGTAAAAACTTTCCCATTCACAAAAGATATTATTGGTAACATGGAAAGAAAACCAGAATGGCTACAAAAACATATATTTGGAAACGAGCTTATTCCATATGGACAAGCTCTGTTTGAAGAGCTTGAACCGGAAACTCAGGAAAGAGTCATGCAAACAATACGCGAAGACTCAAATACAAACTATGACAAAATCTTTCTAGGATATAGGTTACCTGAATGGGCGACCAGAGCCCAAAGGCAAAAAGGACATGGGAAATTAACAACATACTAGGTGAACATGAGGCAAAGATGCTACAACTTGAAGCAGAGGGCAAGTTACCAAAAGCGACACCAAAGAAGAAGAGAAGAGTAGAACAAAGTGAAAGTAGTGAAGAAGTAACTTCATCTAGTGAAAGTAGTGGCAATGAAGGAAAAAGAAGAGTTAAAAACTCAGTCAGGAAGAAAGTAAAGCTTGGTACGAGTGGGTTCTATTATGACACATAAATCCAACTATTCTATATTTTTACCCATATGAAATGTACGCCGCTCAGAATATAACGCCAACAGTTTTGGATGCCATGAACGGAAATGTTTCCGAATGGTATAACGAATGCGACAATGCCATTAGAAGGTCAGAAATAGTTCCTGGAACTTACGAATATACAACTGCTGTTTCTTATGGAAACGTAGGTGAGTTTGGAGAAGGTTCTTCAACAACAGTAGATATTGCTTGCGACAGGTTTCATATTATTTCTATTGACAACTCATTCTTATACGTGGAACAAGACATTGAAATAAAACCTTCTGCCAAGTTGTCTGACAAGAAAGGTTGCAATGGAATTTTCTATGTCGGATACCAATATGCTCCAGAAGTTTTCATGGGATATAAGATATATTCTAACTCTGACTTAGTTCAACAGTAACATGGGCAAACTATGAATGGTTCGCTTTGAGAAACTCAGTACAACCACAAGCTAGAGAACAAACAGACCAGTATGCAACTATTGAGAAAATAAGAAGACTTGACCCTAACGTTCCAGGAGTTTATGTTAACCTTTCTGGTTCAGATGGAACTGCTGCCACTAAAGTAAAACTGAAACTTAGAGTTCCTTTGTCATCTTTCCTCATCTTCAGGTTTTTAAGATACTTGCCAAACTGGGCAGGAAAAATTTCTATCGAACTTACTCCAAGCAAAAATAACTTAGTCATTGCACCAACACAAGACCCATTCAGCATTACTGTAGCTGGAACTGGTGGAGCCAAGTTCTGTGACTTTTGCAAAGGCAAGGTTGACTTAGACTTTGGTTTCTCAAACCTCAACACTGAAGTAAACTATTATTTCAATGCTGCTGGAACTGCTTGGGACCCAGTTAAGTTCACATGCGAAAAATTTGAATGCAAGAGAATAGAAAGCAGACTTGCAGTCTATATGTTGGACCAGATATTTCAAATGCTTTAGCTGCCAAATATATTGCAGTTCCACTTATGTTCCCTATACACCAAATATCTGTCAAAGACTTTGCAGGTGAAGTTGGAAACCAAAGTGCTGACCCCAGGTGCAAGAACAGATATTGCTTTAACAACTGCAATGAAACATGCAGATACTATGTTTGTACTGTTCAGACGAACTATAAATGACTATTCTTGTTTCTACAACCCTGGTATTAAATATCATATAAACATAGATGGCAAATATTATCCAAGAGAAGAATATTCTACAGTTGAGGATATGAGGGTCATACAACTTGACATTAGATGCTATGAACTTTAACAACAACTTCACAACAACCATTAACCCTGAAATGCAAAGTTCTATTATGCCATATGTGAAAGTATGGACTCATACAGGAGGTCAAAAAACTCAATATACAAATGGAGACCGTTCAACTTTTGCTTGGCATTCCATTTGCTGACTCAGAAGACTTTATGGGTGGTATTTCAACTGTTGGTACAGTTCAAATACAATATACTGGTGACAGAGACGGTCCAGATGAATTTGAAAGCAAAGAAGTTTACAAAACCAATAGCACTTTTCACGGAAGATGCTCTTTTGAAGATTCGTTCGATGAAACCTGCTGGGGCTCCTCAGATTGGCATAACGACAGCTTCCATCGAGCAGATTTTGGCAGCAGGTCAGTAAGTTGTTCTTGAACTGACTTCTCTCCGTCAAATATTGACAGTACGCCAGTTTTGACATAATATTGTATTATAAACTTTCCTTTAGTAATATCGTCAGTTTTGAAGTTATATTTTTCTGCTTCAAGAACTTTCACCATTTCAGTTATACCAACTTTCTTTGCTTTATGAAAATATTTAGGTTCAGCAAAGACTGCTATTCTATAACATTTTCCATTGTTTGTGTAAAGAACTATTCTGTCAATGTATTTGTATTGTTTGTGAGTATAAACTTTGTTCTGCTTCAATTCAATAAAGATATCCGAATACGTCCATCTTTTTATTCTAAGTAAAATGTCATTTCCGAAAAAATAGAAGCGTAAGTGTTTCAAAAAGGTTTAATGGCGGTGGCAGATGTGAAGTTAAATTCACCAACTCAAACAAACAGTCAAAGTGTTATTGTCAATGTCAAAGACAGAGATGTTGAAGTGGGGAAACCATACGAAGACAAAGATGGTATAACAATTGTTCCTGTAAAAGAACCAACATATCCTGAAGTTAGCAGAGACTTAAGTTCTGTTGCAGATATTCGAAACGACTACCAACAACTGAAAGACAAACTTCAAACTCAGGAGAAGATTTGTCAAGCTTTAAGTATAATGTTAAACTTGGTCGAACACAACCCTGTAAAAGTGAACTCATATGTCATTGCACCTCATGAAGTTTTGAAAGAACTATTGAAACTTTTGACAGAGGCAGACGATATAAACATCAAAGAAATAGAACCCGACATTGGTTGCTGTGGTGTTTCATATAATGTCATTGACAAGATATACGTTATGAAAGGAGGTGAAACGTTGAACTTAAAGTATAGTTTCCCAGACGTTATAAAAATATTTGACGACCACAACATTTCATTAAAATTTATTTGCTAAGTAAAAATGTCAAAACTTCTTGAAAGATTGTGTTTAAGAAAAATAATATAGACTTTATTTCATGTAAAGGACTTTACACACTTTGAACGATATGAAAGACCCTGTTTTGTTTGTTCGTGTAGACAAAGGAAAGTTCTATGTCTTTACAAAATATTTGAACTTCTTAGACAGAGAACTTCAAGAAACGCCATGTGAAAGTTTAGATGAAGTTCTTCTCCACTTTCAGAAAAACTTTTAAATATATAAAAATGGCAGAAGACATAGTGGTTTATACTATTACGACTAAAACCTGAGTCATATAATTCTATAACAACAAACTTACAAAGTCCTCAAGGACGATATTGTAAACTAACCTTAAACACAATGACGACTAAAGCCTGTTTTGCTCTTTTGACACCAAGAAGACTTTTATTGTTGTGAATGGTAAAAAATACTCCTTTGAAGATACTTACTCAGATATACCACCAACAGGTTTTGTTGACTTATTTAATACTTTAAGTACGGGTGTAACATGTGCTGCAACTAGAGCAGGTTTCATTATGTTTGGATGTCCGACTGAGTTTACTATAAACGATATG